AGTGGCCTGCCTTGTGGTTTGGTAACATCAGGACTGTGCCATTTTATTTGTTGGCCTTGGGATTGTTAGCCTCAGCAGTCAGTAGCTGCCTAAGTGAAGAGATGCCTCTAGCTTCAGTGGGCCTGGGAACAAGAGGCAGAGCTGAAGCCCAAGGTCGAGGGGCTTTCACACAGCCCCTAGAGCCTGGCATTTTGAACTTGGACTTCTAGGTTCTCGAACTATAAGAGAATAAACTCCTGTTTGTTATGGCTATTCTGTTTGTGGTATATTCTTGTCAGAGCAGCACTAGGTACCCAGAACACCATCTGACATCAGAAATGAGATCCCTCATTCTACATCCTCTTCTGAATCCAGCTTGCATTTCTGGCAGTCCCCTGTCAGTGAACTGCTACAACAATTTTTGAGTTATTTACAGCAAAATTATACTTTCATGTGATATTAATGAGACTGTTCGATAATTTCCACATTCTGTGAGATCACCTTTCTTTGTAATGGGTACAGATATGGATTTTGTCTAGTCAGTTGGCCAGGAAGCTGTCTTCCAAATTATTTGGCATAGACGATTAAGTGCTTCCGGCACAATCTCCATTTGTTGAAACATCTCAATGAGTATTCTGTCAATTCCGGGAGCTTTGTTTTTTGCCAGCTCCTTCAGTGTGGCTTTAATGTTTTCCTTCATTACCGCTGGTTCTTGATCATATGCCACCTGCTGAAATAGTTGACCATCGACCAATTTTTTTTTTTTTCGTACAGTGACTGTGTATTCCTTCCATCTTCTTTTGATGCCTCCATTGTTCAATATTTTGCCCATAGAATCCTTCAGTATTGCAACTCTACCCTTGAATTTTTTCTAAATTGTTTCAACTTGAGATATGGTAAGCATGTTCTTTGCTTTTGGTTTTCTAACTCCAGGTCTTTGCATGTTTCCTTATAATAATTGATTGTCTTCTTGATCTGCTGTTTGGAATCTTCTGTTCAGCTCTTTTATCTTGTCATTTCTTCCATTTGTTTCAGCTACTCTCCAAAAAGAGCAAATTTCAGAGTCTCTTTTGACGTCCATTTTGATCTTTTCTTCCTTTCCTGTCTTTCTAATGACCTTTTGCTTTCTCCATATATGATGTTCTTGACGTCATCCCTCAAATTAACTAGTCTTTGGTCATTGGTGTTCAGTGTGGCAAATCTATTCTTCAGACAAATAATGTGAGAAGTTGGACTGTATGAAGCAGAACGTGGAATCAGGATTAGAGAAAGGCTTCCTAAAAACATGTGATAGGCAGATGACACAACCTTGCTTGCTGAAAGTAAAGATTACTTCAAGCATGCATCTATCTATCTATCTATCTATCAAGGTATGTTGTTGTTGTTATGTGCTGTCGAGTCAGCCCCGACTCATAGCGACCCCTCCTTGGGTTTCCAAGGCAGTATCACTACGGAAGTAGGATTGCCCAACCTTCCTTCCGAGGAGTGGCT